GGAAAAGTAACACCTGCAAGTTCTACATAGAGCTATGTGCATTCTATGACTTATAGAACATAAATAAAAACAACCGAGGGGGTGGGGGGGAGAGACTGAGAATTACCTATTTTAAAACAGATGTATTTCTCATTCTAGTAGGGGCAAGGTGGTCTCAAAATATAAATAATCATAGAATCATAGTTAGAAGAGACCTCCTGGGCAACCCAGTCCAACCCACCTGCCAAGAAGCAGGAAAATAAATTCAAAGCACCTCAGACAGATGGCCATCCAGCCTCTGTTTAAAAGCCTCCAAAGAAGCAGCGTCCACCACACTCCAGAGCAGAGAGTTCCACTGCTGAACAGTTCTCACAGTTAGAAAGTTCTTCCTCATGTTCAGGTGGAATCTCTTTTCCTGTAGTTTGAAGCCATATATTTGGTCAATGCATGGCATTGATGCTTCCAATCAGGCCCATAGCCAGGATTTTGATTCAGGGGAGAGGGGTGAGTTTGATTCGGGGGGGGGGGGGGGGGGGGTTTGATGGGGGGGGGGCTCAGGATCTACCCTAGCAAACCTTTTGTATCATTATCCCAATACCCCCATGCATATGGGATATATTGAGCATGGTGATCAGATCATGATATGAATAAACATAACAGTTTAAATAATGTACCAGTAAGGCCTTCTTGCGGACCACCCTGAGAATTGGGGGGGGGCTGAAGCCCCTCACCTCCCCCCCGTTCCTTGGCTACTGGCCTGCTTCCAATGCAATCTTCCCTGAAGCAGGAAAGACTAGGATAAAGGACACAGCAGGCTCTCTGCTGATGATTGCTTTGGTGCCATTTGCCATTGCTCCGAATCCCAGTTTCCAGGGAAGAAGCTTGCTCCCTCCTCCCTATGACTTCCTCTCACATATTTATATACGGCTGTCATGCCTCCTCTCAGCCTTCTCTTCTTCAGGCTAAACATGCCCAGCTCTTTAAGCCGCTCCTCATAGAGCTCCAGACCCTTGATCATTTTATCGCCCTCCTCTGGACACATTTCAGTTCTTCCTCATGTTCAGATGGAATCTCCATGGCATTGATGCTTCCTTCTTCCCTGAAGAAGGAAAGATTAGGATAAGGGACACAGCAGGCTCTCTGCTGATGATTGCTTTGATACCATTTGGGCTCTCTGGATTTATATGAAGTCAACATGAAAACACTCATCATTTTATCTTAATTGCCATGAGATGGGAAGTGTGAAAAGAGATGAATAATTAACCATCACATAATGACCATGCCTTATATCCATTATATAATGATTGTGACCAATTCAGAGTATTTACCATGACTTAAAAGAAAAACAAAAGTCTTCGTGCTACCATCCAATGCCAGGATTAATATGCATCAGGAATACCTTCTGAATGTCTTTAATTGCTGCATAGGGCATCATTAAAGCAGAGCGGGCAAAACTGAGGATGAAAGAGAAATACACTGAACCATATCTATTCCAAGGGTGCCATCTGTATGTTGTTCCACCTGCTCCAGAAGGAGATGAAATATTCCTGAAATATACAATGCTGCCCAAAGCCAAAGCATAGAAGTAAATCAGAGTACAAATGCAGCATGCACTATATACATTTATTATTGTAACACAGACCCGGCCACTGAAGATGCTGCCTGGAGGCTACGAATATACAGGACTTTTGATTTTGGCACCACTCCTCCTGCAGCTATTCCAAATGAACTGGAGCCGTGCCAGGGCTCACCGTCTGGCCTGATCTGGGGAGAGCTCCCATTCAACTGTGAACAGCTGCAGGTGGCAAAATCAATTGTGGGGTTTCTTCTGTTGCAAGGAAACCTGAGGGGGCATGGTCATAATTTCCAGAATAGGATGCCAGAATAGGATTCCATTTTTCTGTCTCAAATCAAAGGGCAGCATTTATACAGAAACATTGGCACTGGGAAGAAAAAGATTACAGTAGCTGTAGTGGTGCAATGGGTAAACCCTTGTGCTGCTGAACTGCTGACTGGAAGGTTTGCATTTTGATTTTGTGGGTCGGGGTGAGCTTCTGCTGTTAGCTCTAGCTCCTGCCAACCCAACAGTTCGAAAACATGCAAATGTAAGTAGATCAATAGGTACTGTTTCAGTGGGAAGGTAATAAAGGTGCCCATGCAGCCATGCCACCAACATGACCAGGAGGTGTCTATAGACAACAGGCTCCTCAGCTTGGAAATGGAAAGAGAGCACCTCCCCATGGCCAGAGTTGAACACCGCCTCAGAAGCCAAAGATGAAAGGGGAAGTCTTTACCTTTGTTCTGCGTATTTGTGTGTCATGGTTATTTCACTGTATTAAAGGCATTTAATGTTTGCCTATCTGTGTATGTTGTACTCCACTTTGAGTCCCCTTGAGGAGATAGAAAGAAATATAAATAAAGTGTTTATTATTATTATTATTATTATTATTATTATTATTATTATTATTATAAGAGTAGAGCATGATTCCCAGTATACTCTGGGAAAACCTCAAGTGTGTTCAGTGCCCGCCAGAGGATAATATATTAAAGTCTACACAATTACATCTTAACATGGTTACAGATAGAATAGACTAGCTTTATTGTCATGGTACTATTGTACAACAAAATTAAATGATTTCCCCAACACACACCACAAAGCAACACACCCATTCCTCCACACACACACACACCACCACCACCACCACCAAGCCCCCAATGCTACATCAATGTGAAACCACGGAGTTCAATAGTTCTAGGATAAAAGCCAGAGGAGGGCGATTAAAATGATCAAGGATCTAGAGAACAAGCCCTATGAGGAGTGGCTTAAAGAGCTGGGCATGTTTAGCCTGCAGAAGAGAAGGCTGAGAGGAGACATGGAATGTTGTTTTACATGATAGCCATGTATAAATATTTGAGGGAAAGCCATAGGGAGGAGGGAGCAAGCTTCTTTTCTGCTGCTCCGGAGACTAGGATATGGAGCAGTGGCTTCAAACTACAGGAAAGGAGATTTCACCTGAATATTAGGAAGAACTTCCTGAAATGTGAGAGCTGTTAAGCAGTGGATCTCTCTGCCCTGAAGTGTGGTGGAGGTGCCTTCTTTGGAGGCTTTTACGTAGAGGCTGTGTGGCCATCTGTCGGGGGTGATTTGAATGTGATTTTCCTACTTTTTGGCAGGATGGGGTTAGACTGGATGGCCCCCTGAGGTTTGATTCTATGATCTAAATCTGGAAGGTAAAGTTCAAATCCAATGCCTGGATATTATATATGTATATACAATGGTGTTCATGTATTTCAAAGTTCTCAATACAAATATTAGGAGCCCCTGGTGGTGCAATGGGTTAAACCCTTGTGCTGGCAGGACTGAAGATTGACAGCTTGGAGGTTCGAATCCGGGGAGAGCATGGATGAGCTCCCTCTGTCAGCTCCAGCTCCTCATGCGGGGACATGAGAGAAGATTCCCACAAGGATGGTAAAACATCAAAACACCTGGATATCCCCTGGGCAACATCCTTGCAGACAGCCAATTCTCTCACACCAGAAGCGACTTGCAGTTTCTCAAGTCGCTCCTGACACAAATAATTACATAATAAAATATTTTAAAATATATGTCACAAAACACCTTTTACTAGGAACCACTGGTGCAGAAATGGCAGATATTCTATCTGGATGACTATAATGAGGTCTGTTTGGGGCCAACCCTGAAGACTGTCAAGAAACTTTAGTTGGCGCCAAATAGAGTTGTGAGATGCCTTGCAAGCAGTCTGCAAACAGAATATTCTTCATCAACAACCATCCCGCTTCTTTAAGAAGGTGGGCTGCAAGTAAAAGCTGGGAGAAGAATGCTTTTCCTCTCTTCCCTGGATTGATCAAGTGGATTCCCCATTATTGAAGTCAGCCTTTTGACCAGATGAGTCAGATCCGTTTCCAGACGGTGCCTGGAGGCACATCTGTGCACCTACACTGCCGAAATAATGTAGTTTGGCACCATTTTCACAGCTATGGTTCAACTATGTGGAATTAGGAGAATGTAACAGAGGAGTTTAGTTTTACAATATCTTAGAAGTTGTTGAAGTCTAAGGTCTTAATAGCCTTCCCTGCCCATGAGTGCTGGAGCCTCACCAAACTACAAATCCCAGGATCCCATGGCCTTAAGCCAGGTCAGATACCCACTGTATCTGCTTTCATTCAAACAGTGCAACCCAAACTGCTTTAATTCTATAGTGCAACCCAAATGGAGAAACTGTTCAACAGCAAGACTTAAGAATCAGGTTAAACCAGCATTTCTCAACCTGGGGGTCGGGACCCCTGGGGGGGTTGTGAGGGGGTGTCAGAGGGGTCACCAAAGACCATCCGAAAACACAGTATTTTCTGTTGGTCATGGGGATTCTGTGTGGGAAGTTTGGCCCAATTCTGTCATTGGTGGGATTCAGAATGCACTTTGATTGTAGGTGAACTATAAATCCCAGTAACTACTACTCTCAAATGTCATGTTCTATTTTCCCCAAACTCCACCAGTGTTCGCATTTGGGCATATTGAAGATTCGTGCCAAGTTTGGTCCAGATATATCACTGCTGGAGTCCACCGTGCTCTCTGGATGTAGGCGAACTACAACTCCAAAACTCAAGGTCAGTGCCCACCAAACCCTTCCAGTATTTTCTGCCGATCATGGGAATTCTGTGTCCCAAGTTTGGTTCAATTCTATCGTTGGTGGAGTTCAGAATGCTCTTTGATGGTAGGTGAAATATAAATCCCAGCAACTACAACTCCCAAATGACAAAATCAATCCCAGCTCCAACCCCACCAGTATTCAAATTTGGGTGTATTGGGTATTTGTGCCAAATTTGGTCCAATGAAAGAAAATACATCCTGCATATCAGATAGTTGCATTACAATTCACAACAGTAGCAAAATGACAGTTATGAAAAATAATGTTATGGTTGTGGGTTACCACAACTTGAGGACCTGTATTAAGGAAGGTTGGGAACCACTGGGTTAAGCCAAAAAGCGAGAAGCAACGCACCTGCCTGGGTCTCCTTCCTTCCTCCTGGTCCACTTCTCCGGATGCCTGGCATCCGCCTCCGCCGCTCCAGGCAACCCAACAGCCGCTTGCTCGCTTGCTTGCTCGCTTTCATTCATTCATAAGGCGCCGCGCGCGCCGCCGCCGCCGCAGGGCAGCGCCAGCCACGCGCAGGCCACGCCCTCCCCGCCAGACGATGAATGAAGGGTCCCAAGCTCCGCCCACTTTAGAAAGTAGGCAGGAGGTGGGAGGAGAAGGCGGCTCTGGTCACGTGGTACCGCCTTCCGAGCAAGGGCGGGGCTATTGGAGAGGGCGTAGCAGCCACTAGGTTCTTAAAGAGGAAGAAGGCCCCGCCCTTCCAGCCAAAGGTATGAATGAAGGGGATTCAAGCTCCGCCCACTTTAAACGGAGGGCGGGGTATGGGAGAGGTGGCTTTGGTCACTTGACACTGCCCTCCTTGAAGTGGAAGGCGGTAGCTGCATACACACTGTAGAATTAATGCAGTTTGACACTGCTTTAATTGCCATGATTCATTTTTATAGGATCCTGTGGTGCAACACCAGCACTCTTTGTCGGGCAGGGCTGAAGACCCTGTAAAACTACAGCTCCCAAGATTCCTTAGCCTTGAGCCATGGTAGTTAAGTGGTGCCAATGTAATTTATTTCACAATGTAGTTGCAGTATATTTTTTTACTTTCATTGATTAGACGACTAGACATAATGTTAGGGGAAAACCTTTACCTTTACCTTTACCTATAATCTCCCATTAATAATAATAATAATAATAATAAATCTCCCATTGATAATAATAATAATACCAACAAGCCGTCCTTTGCCACGCATTGCTGTGGCCCAGTCTGTGTATATGTGTTTTGTGTGTGTATATATGTGTATATATTTGTGTATATGTATATATGTGTGTTTATGTGTATATATGTGGTTTTGTGCATGCATTATAATGTATTTTTTATTTTATTTTATTTTTTGGCTTTTTAAGTCCCTTCTGTGTTTTTCAGTGTTTTCATGAGTGATGGTCACTTGTTAGCCTGATATCAGTATTGTGTCCAGTTTTGGTGTCAATTCATCCAGTGGTTTTTGAGTTATGTTAATCCCACAAATGAATATTACATTTTTATTTATATAGATGTTGCTGCTGTTGTGTGGGGCATCCGGTTGGCTTTGACGTGAGATTCAGTGAATGAGACCTCCATTCTCCAATTGTTATCAGTTCAGGTTTTGCAAACTTGGTGCCTTGGCTCTCTTGATGGAATCGATCCATCTAAAACAGGCCTGGGCAAACTTGGGCCCACCCTCCCGGTGTTTTGGACTTGAACTCCCACAATTCCTCACAGCCTTCCTTTTCCCCCTCAGCCACTTAAGCTAAGTATATCAGGCACACATTAAAAATATGGAGGAAAGAAGAAAAATGCATGACCAAATTGGAAATGATTTTGCTGGTTAACAGGTGACATCACCCTGGGTTCAGCTTAGTACCAGATCCTGCCTGGTCTTGGAATCTAAGCAGGGTCAGCCCTGGTTACTATTTGGATGGGAGACTGCTAGTGGATGCTAGGGGCTATAATTCAGTGAAGGGATTGACAGAACCACCTCTGAGTACTCTGTGCCTAAGAAAAACCTGTGAAATGTATGGGATCGTCATAAATTTATCTGCACTGTAGCCCTTAAAAACTTCCACTCCGATACAGCTCCCCAAACAGTTCCCTTAACTGAAACTCATACAGTATGGTTTCCAAACTATTTGCCATTTTAGTCACCCTCTTCTCGACATGTTTCACCTTGTCAATATCCTTCTCAAATTGCGATGCTCAAAACTAGACAGAGCGTTATAGGTGAGGTCTGAACAACATTGATTTTTAAAGGTGGCATGACTCATTTTAAGTAAGTTCAGGTCATGGTTTATTTTTAAATCCCTCCAATGCTAAGTAATAATGACACCATGTACCTGTATCCTAGGGCTATAATACAAAGAGCTAGTTGGATAAATGAGATATATGCTTTAACTTTCCCATGCAATACGTTTGGCCTTATATTAGCCAAATAAATGACTAAAGTGCCACTGCCATCACAACATATTTGTATGTGTAATGGGTAAAGTGCCAGTGCCATTCTACTAATGAAAGAGGATGATTCTTTTTTTATATATAACAGTACTGACAGGTTGGCAGTTTGAATCTGGGGAGCAGGTAGGTGAGCTTCTGCTGTTAGCCCCAGCTTCTGCCAACCTAGCAGTTCAAAAGCATGCAAATGTGAGTAGATCAATGGGTACTGCTTCAACAGTAAGGTAATGACACTCTGTACAGTCATGCGGGCCACATGACCTTGGAGGCATCTACAGAAAACACCGGCTCTTTGGCTTAGAAATTGAGGTGAGCACCACCCCCCAGAGCTGGGCACATCTAGACTTCATGTCAAGGGGAAACTTTTATGTTTACCTTTTTACTCATATTGACCTGTGAATAAGTCGACACAGGTTTTGGGGGTCAATTTTAGAACTAAAAATTGTAGATGTTTACAGATGTATATAAGCGAGGAGCCTTCTCACTCGAAGCACACTGAACAAAAATCAGGTTTGTGGTTGAGAATGAAGCAAACTGATGAGGCTGATCTTGATGGTAGCAACAGTTTCAAGCAACAGAGATAATACCTACTTGGGGTTGGGATCACTTTTGTTTGTCAATGATCTTATTAGTTTAATTGTGTTTATTTTCATTGTGTATGCCTCCCTCAGAGTTTCAGCTGTAAGAAGACTCATACATAAAATACATCATATGACTCATAAAGAAATCTGTGCTTGCATGCTCTGCATTCAATTTTTGGAAGAATAAATTTCAATATAAAGTAAAGGTAAAGTTTTCCCCTTGTCATTGAGTCTAGTCATGTCCAACTCTGGGGTGTGGTGTCATCTCATGTATTTCTTCCAAATGTATCTCTCCTTATGAACCATCTAGGAACTTAAGATCATCTGGGGAAGCCCTGCTCTCAATCCCTCCTTCTTTGCAGGCATGTCTGGCAGGGACGAGAGACAGGGCCTTCTCAGTGGTGGCCCCTCGGCTGTGGCACTCCCTCTCTAAAGATATTAGTTTGACCCCCTCCCTCCTGACTTTCCAGAAAAATAGTAAAAACCTGACTCTTTGAACAAGCCTTTGGAAAAGCATCGTAATAGATAAACATGGAACTATGAAAGAGTAAACATGGAATGGCTAGACAATGCTACTGGAAAATGAGATTAACAGGAAGACATTGGTGATTAAATGTTTTTAATGGTTTTTAATGGATTTTTACAATGTTATTCTAAATGTTTTTAATTGTATTTTATGACTACTATGGCATCAAATTGCTGCCAATTTGTAAGCCGCCTTGAGTTGCCTTCGGGCTGAGAAAGGCGGGATCCAAATGTCACAAATAAATAAATAAATAAATAAACCAAAGAGCTGGTGTTGTCTGTAGACACCTCTGAGGTCATGGGGCCGGCATGACTTTACCTTCCCGCCAAGGCAGTACCTATTGATCCACTCACATTTGCATGTTTTCAAACTGCTAGGTTGGCATAAGCTGGACCTAACAGGGGGAGCTCACCCTGCTCTCCGGATTCAAACTGCCAACCTTTTGATCAGCAAGATCAGTAGCTCAGCAGTTTAATCCGCTGTGCCACCAAGGGCTGTAAATATAAGTCTGCAAAAAAAATCCCCCAAACTATGCAGATCTTCAGTCAGATTGCAAGGTCAATGGGGATTCTTTTTAAAGTAGTTTAAGGGCCACAGAACCAGTTGGGAGGCAAATCGTCATGAATGTTGTGTCTCAAGTTAGCAACCAATATGAGGCAAGTACAAATTATTATCACTGATACTATTATTTTATAGAAAGATCCTCAGAAACAAAAGGCAACAGAACTACAGGCAAGTTTTAGCTTTTGCAAACTCTCTATAGCAGACATGGGAAAACTCCGGCTCTCTAGGTGTTTGGGACTCCAACTTCCACAATTCCTAACAGCCTCAGGCCCTTTCCTTTTCCCCCTCAGCTGCTTAAACGGAGGGCTGGAATTTGCCCATGTCTGCTCTATAGGATATCAAACTCAGTTCACAACTTCATTATTTAAGATTTTATAGAGTGCTCAAAGTGTCTTCCAAATAAAAAGCTACCAGATAATGCTATGAGGAATCTTTTATGAAGGACTATACAGCGGCAGGCAATATGCTGTGAACTATTGCAATCACCCAAAGCATACAGGCTACTGTTTGCTTCAAAATGAAAAATCACTTCTTTCTCATAACATGATTGTCAGCAGCTAATGAAAACAATAGAAAAGACTGAATTCGCTTTGCTGCTGCCAAATATACTGGCATCCTTAATAAATAAAAAAACAGGCTAATGGGAATAAGATTTCCCTCCATGGCTCTTTCGGGCTCAATTGCTTTTTTCTTACCAGCATTGCTATATATCAAGTTGAACTGGCAATTTCAAGCTTTTAATATTAGAATAGCAAAAGCAAGTTAGCAAAGTCAAAACAATCCTGCTGGAATGGTATTTTAGAGAAGAATTTATGCCAAAGGAAAAAGGTTAAAAATGTTTGATATCTTGAGGAAAGGTCTGTGTAACAGAAATCTTTTACTGCATCTTATTCCAATATTTTAGAAGTCTACAAATGAAGGATGGTTGTGCATCATAGGGAGGAGGGAGCAAGCTTGTTTTCTGCAGCCCTGGAGACTAGGACGTGGAACAATGGCTTCAATCTACAGGAAAGGGGATTCCACTTGAACATTAGGAAGAACTTCCTCACTGTGAGAGCAGTTCAGCAGTGGAACTCTCTGTCCTGGACTGTACTGGAGGCTCCTTCTTTGGAGGCTTTTAAGCAGAGGCTGGGTGGCCATCTGTAGGGGGTGTTTTGAATGCAATTTTCCTGCTTCTTGGCAGGGGGCTGGACAGGATGGCCCACGGGGTCTCTTCCAACTCTTTGATTCTATAAGGTCTATGGATAATCTGGAGTTTCCTGCAAATTCCTGCTACCCCTCTATTCTGCCTTGGTCAGACCACACCTGGAATCACATTGTATCCAATTCTGGGTACTGCAA